TTAAATTTCTTTGGCGGGCGTATTCACGCAACAAAACCTGGTTTTATGGAGGGGAAATGAGTTCCTACGCCGATATCTTAGATTGATGTAGTGCTGAAGCTATTTTCAAACATTGTCGGCAATATGGTGGTTTTTACGAAGGTTCTTGTGGACATTATGCCATCGTATGCCTCACACCATCGTCGCATGGTTCCTGTGTTAGCACGCCTTTCAAATGCTTGTAAACTTTTGCAATCATTTTTGTGACCATATTTTATGGGCGTGAATTATTGCTATTGATTCTCGTCCATTCTCAGGGGCAAGCGTGAGTAAAACGATCCTTAAATTCTCCAGGAAAAGTACGGAGTCACTCCACTGTCTCGGGTGCATTTCCCATCCGTCCCCACTGATGCTGGGGACATGTGACGGAAAGGACGAAAGGATACTCAATGTGCTCAGGGATCAGTGACATAAAATGCTCTGCACTTCTCCACATTGTTACCGATGAATACGCGGTTCTGGGATAATACGAGGACAAGAAACATCTCCATGACAGAAATATTGTTTTAATAATATGGAGCAAATTGTTAGGACAGTATTTCTCCACATTTTCCACATTAGTTGAAACAGGCTTCCAGATATTTCATCTCTGAATTAAGGTTTGAACAATCGATATTGTCAATAGTTATATTCATAGCTCATTCTCATCGCATTAATATATTTTCATCATTGTGACCATTTTTTGCATTCGCGGAAAAGGTTTCATCTTCAGTAGCAACTTAACGCAAATAATCCTCCAAAGATCCCCAATGAAGTCATCCCTGAAATTACCACCCCTAGAACTAGATGCTCACTAATTGCCAGCTTTCTATCGAATCTAGAACGTAAATGACTTCTATTAAATGGAAACGGACAAGGCCGTGAAATTTAATCGTCATTTATTTTATTTATTTTCATTTCACTACATGACACCCAATAACCCAAGTAACGCACCCACATCGAATCAAATTTGATTCAACCTTTAACGCAGCTAATGTTAAAACAGCAATGGCTTTTAATTGGCGTCCAGATTCCGTATTGAAAGTTCATTTTCATCAACCTTAAGGCAATGTTGACATCAGCAATGGCACCGACAGGTCTTAACGCACTCTTTAATTCCTGTGCATGCGCCATTTTAATGGTGAAGTACTTCTCGACACGATGTAACCCATGGAAAGATTTTTTTTTAAGATTCCCCTCTCTAAGGTCAACATAAAATATAGGAATCCCGCTCCCGCGGAGGCGTAATGATAATTATTTCGATGGAAGAAATATTTTTATTTTTAAGAGAGATGATTATTCTCCATTCCTCGTATCCTCCCACGCGAAGTGCAAGACCAGGAATGAAATGTTTCTTTCGAGCCAGGGCTGTGTGGTCTCGTGGCCGCGTCTGCCTTCCTGCCTCCATTGCCCATCTCAGGATTGCCCTGGGTTTTGTTGGGTTGGATTGCCCATTTTTCGTCGAATATGTTCAGGAAGTGAAATACCTTCTTCTAGGGAGAAAATACGAAATTCAATTCCAAAAGGATTGGGAACGCGTGCGGGGAGGGTATATATGAGGTAACTTGCGGAGTTGGCCTTCCGTCGCCATCTCCCTTCGGAGGCAGGGAATCTTGTTTGTTCGAACGTCTCGCCAGATGTCTCGCCTGACGTGTTCATGCAACGTTGGTCGGACAATGTCCACGCAAAATTTATATTTTCAACATCGAGACAATGTTAATTCCATATTGAAATGTCCTTTTCGTCAGCCTCAAGTAAAATAAAACAGATTCAAGGGGAGAACACTATATGTGTATGACCACACATCTTCAATGCAGTCACAAAACTACTTATGCATGAATGGAAAAAGAAGTTGTTTCATCAATCAGTTTCTTTATCGACATCGAACTGTATCACTTTATTATTAACTTATCGAACAAGAAGTCCGACCCTCTAGACTATAATTGGGAGATTTTTCACGAGCGGCGAACTGAAAGGAGTTCGCCCGATTCGGCCCGAGAAAAGAAAGGATATCCTTTGAAAGGTGTCTTTCAAAGGATATCCACAAAACTCACTGGAGAGTACCAGTCCAGGTACAGATCTATCATTCCACTGACCCGTGCACCACTGGAATTTTTTAGATATATTCGCCGCGTCCTAAACGTCCAACTTCGAAGTAAATAACTGTCATCGGTGCGGCATTGGCTTATATGAAATGGCTAGGACAACTTAACATGTTCTCTATGGTTCGCTCGTCCGCGTAGCACGGAAATGAGATATATAGTATGTGTAGGATGTCAGATGCGCATTTCACGCGTACGCCCAGCAACCCTGTCTAGGCGCTTTCCCTCATTGTCTTATATGGATCCGTCAACCGCCAGGACTGGAAGGGAAGTGGATGTTTTCGTGGAAGACGGGTACCCCGACCCAGGCGGAAAGCTGCACATGCGCAGCTTTCGTCCGGTCGCTATGGTTACTGCGGACGGAGGGAATGAAAAAAAGGACAGACCGACCGCAATGATTGCCATTTCCCCATAGTACTTATAGGAATGGCAAATAAAGAAGTTGGGATGTGGTGTGGTTTTGACCGAAATGGATTTCGGCAGATTGGATGGACTATTTGACCAACTCATGGAGTACACACAAATAAAATTCATCCGCGGTTGACACAACGAACGATTCGAATCTGTGTTGCAAATTAATTCAATGCTGATTTAAAGCAGACGCTTCAACTATGAAAAGAGCAGCATTGAGTCAATGCAGACCCACTGTGAGTGCATTAACGGTGACTGTCATCGCATTTGATCAATGTTGATGTACCACGAACGTATAAACTATCGACAAAGATTCTGAACCTTCAATCCACACCTTGTCAACGTTGAATCGATGTTGAGTTTCTTGGGTGGTTCCACGAAGACCGGAACGAAATTCAAGTCCAAAATGTTTTAATGCAATGTCATGTTCTCCGCTCATGAGGAATGATTAGAAGCGAGCAAACTCAAAACCGTTTCTCTCAAATGCTCTCTGCCGTGGCTGCTGAAAACATTCTCAGACCTCGAAGTTCGAACATCACGCATCGCAGCCATCTTTGAAGCGGGAAAAGGGCACTCCAGGGCGGAAAGTCTTGGCAGAAGCGTTCGTTGGATGGAACCCGAGGTCGTGTGGCGGTGGAATTAAAGGACATAGCTCGTTTCCTTGTAGAGTGGACCGCGACGAAATCGATGAAAGAATCCGAAGACGACGATGGAACAAGAGATGAAGAAAACGAAATGGAGGAAAGGAGTGGAGGTTCTTTCTCGGTCGAAGCGGCCACTTGTGGGAGGCGTCTCGTCAGTTGCCACTCCTCCTGGGGAAAGGGACGCAACTCGTCGTGGCAGGTTTGGAGGCTGCAATACGTCGTTCGTGCTTTTTTTGTAAATAAAAGGAGACTATCGGTCTGCGGCCACTTCGCTGGCCGTCTAATACATTGCAATTATACCTTGGTCGCCTAGCCTATGGCGTAGAATGGCATAACCTTGTAGGCCTTGCGTGTTAGGCCACAGATAAGTGACAACCATTCATAACTGCTTTCGGTCTCTTTCAATTTTTATGGCCTAGCCTATGGCCTGAAATGGCATTGCATCGCAGGCCTTGCGCGTTATGGGTGAATCAGAGACTTCATACGCACGCACGCACGCACGTACGCAGGCAGCTCCATTACATTCTTAATTTATAGGATGAGAGCGTCGTCGTTGACAATGCCGATCCGGATTTTAGCAAGGTCACCGTGGAAGACGCAGCCCCGTTGCCCCGCTGTATTTTGCATGCCGACGAGGTTTCTCCGGAAGACCAAGGTGGATTTTACTGACAAGCACTACGTCTGTCGCACGGGGCACTCTCGCAAAGCCAACATGGGCTTTACTTTTTACAGTCGCTTTTGGCGTGATGTCGAAGGCTCGGTCGACACAAGTGACGAATTTTTTTAACTCACGGGGGGAAAATGCCACTTTCTTATTTAAATATATTCAGCCTTTTTCATGAGAAGTCTGCATTTTCTGACCCTGGAATGAGAAAGATTTATGCCACGTTTTGGAAAAATCTCAAAAAGTACTTCAAATGCAATAACCTCTCAAAACCTAAGTGCCGAAAATAACAAATATAATAAAATAATAAAAAATAATTCCCCTTCCGAATTCTCCAACATCATTGATCACTGAGAGCCGGCAGCCACAGTGAAGAAACGGGTGTCTGACTCTTACGTTGCGTTGTCAAAGTTTATTTTTGTTCGAGTTAAGTATTTTAGGCTTGATTACCATAATTTCCTGTACGCCTAAAGCATAATTATCCGCTATTAATTTTGTGACGCCACGAATCACCATAGCATGGAAATTACGGAGAGAAGAATTCTGTTCAATAAGCTGGTAACATCACGGTCTCTTTAAATTGGTGAAATGATGCGTGAAACTGCATTGTGGGAGAAAAAGTTTCATTCTTGATTAGTTCGCCCAGTCGAATCGAATGTTCGCGTTGGAAAATCCACTGGAATTCTAGTCTATTGGTGAACAACAGGGTCAGGTGATGCATCACTAATTCGGAGCCTAGAAATGAGGTTTTCTTCTATTCTTTGGGCAGTCATGCCCATTTCAACACCTGCAAGGAATGTGCATCATTTCGAGTGCAATGCTACAATGTTACAGAACCCGATTTTCCCGGTCATGAGGACGTCATAGAAGCTTTCTCTTTTTAAATGGAATTTGTTTTTATGCAGAACAGGCTTCATGTACAAGTTCGTTCGTTTTCAAAGGGCTTGTTCTGGCTCATCCAAATGCTTTTCCACCTTAGCCTTCATTTAAAATAATCATTAAAAATTGGAAATATATAATGTAGAAAACCTCCTAGAACTGTCTCAATAACCAACACATTCCTCGCCGACAAGCGACCGACAACCCTGCCTCGAAAAGGCAGGGTTGTCGGGGAGGAGATGGGCTTATTGTGGATTGTAGGTCTTGAGGTAGAGATCATTTTTAAGTATTTGCTGGACGGGTTCTTCGGGAAATTTTTGACGGCGTTGGCGAGTTTCCTTGTCGAACACTCAGAATTCCTTTGGACTTGCTCCTTGAGCTTTCTTCGGTCGATGGGGGTGTTTGAAGTCGTCGGCCTCGACCGCTGCGAACACGGTCATTGTTGCTCTCAGTGTCTTGGTAACGTTTGACGGCATTGGTGGCGGTCTTTCGTGCAAAATTGGGCAAGTTCAGAAGTTCACTTTCCTTCCCCAAACAAACGGACACTTGCAGGTAGAAATGAACTCATGCCTAAGAAATTAGAAAGATTTAAGTAATAAAAAAATGTGAAGTGCATCTGAAAGAAAAGGAAAAATGCTACAAAAAATGCTAATCGCGGAAAAGTAAAACTAAAAAATGACGGGTACTTTTGCGCCACCTTGTACATGTTTGTAAAAATGAATTACTGCCGGTCGTGGCTGGGTGGATGATGTAGTCGTTGGTGTCGTTGGTGTCGTCGTTGATGTCGTTGGTGTCGTCAATTTCCTCGTTCGTGTCGTTAGGCTGCCTGCATTGCTGTTGATTGGGAACTGATCCATACAGTTCCTCCGATTTGTGAGGTCGTTCCGATGCCCAGGGATGCCAGGAGACAGGTGTAGCCATCATTGGATGACGAAATGGAGAAGCCATCGCAGTTCCCCAGTCTTTGTGAGAAAAGAAATATTAATCATTATAATTGGAAAATTCATTACGTAGAGAGCTCACCCAGAAAATACCGTTCCTGTAAATGGCGATTTTTTTAAAAGAAATCTAAAGTAACATGATATTTCATTTTACGTTTCACGTTTAGGAAATGTTGCTGTACAAGGTTGTTTCTATGTGTAAATATCCAAAAAATCGTTAATTATTTATCACGTATCCGTTGCAGAAACATTTCATGACATATGTTGCAATGTTGCAGCAATGTTGATAGAAATTGTTGACTCACTGGCACCAAATCTGGACCTATTACTACCCGGAAAAGCATAGGCTTCACTGGCCCTGAACTGGACCAATTTTCTCCCAATCTAGAAATATTTCATTCATCATTTCGTATCATATCATAATCTTTACCCAGAAGTTCCCATCAACAGGACGAAGCCTGCACAGTTACATAACCCCAGCCCATGCATAGTACAGTACCATTGTCATTGCGTCGGCAGGAGACATAGTACATCTTGGAAGGTGATCTATCCCTGAATGTGCTAAATATAGCGCATTCCAGGGGAAAGGTTCACCCGCGGTGTTCTAGTGAGTGGCCGTGTTTTCAGCCCTTCTTTTCCGCAACCTGCCCCCAGGACGAGGATATGACGAACTGAGATCACAGTCTCTCTCTACCTTAATTTTTTTAATCACCTTTGGCATGCAATCGCCGGGTTATGGAAAGGGTTCTTCTAGGGAATATGAGCTTGTTTTTGGCCTGGGCTCCATGAATCAGCCTCGAAGATGAGGATTATATATGATGATGTGCCATGTTCCGTGATTCCTATAATGAGACTAAGCGACACATATGGCAAGGTATTAAACATTCCAGTGAGTGACGATTCCAGGGAAAGGGAGAAGTGCACTTTTTGGCACCGTTCGAAATGCGAGACCTACGTCTCCATTTATTGGCCTGTAGGACAACATAACTAATCCATAATGCACGTTCATTAGTTGTTTGTCCATGTTGTTTCAGAATGTTGTCACTACATTGCTAATGTTAAGAGAATCAACGTTCTCTCAATATTGATAACAAATGTTGCAATAACATTCGTAGAAGTTTCGCAGCAAAATTCCAATTGCTTGAAAGTGAAGAACTTTGAAGCAATGTTTTATCAATGTTGTTCATCAACTTTTGACATAAAGCAACATAAGCAACATTTCGGACACGTTTCATGGACATACTGTTTTTCTTGGGATCACTGGAACTTGTGAACGACATTATTTTCAATGGATGAATATCCTGAAAAGCATTTTCTCAGAATAAGTCTTCTTAAGCGCGGTTGACTTGAATACAGAGAGATATTCTACCGTAGAAAATTCTGACTTCTGCCTTTAGACACCGTCCGCTTATAACCTTTCTCCATGTGTCCACATTGAAGAAGTCTCACTAGGGAAGCGTGAATGGTTCATTTCCATTCATTTTCTGAAAGGTATTTTTAAGCATTAAATTATCTGAAAACGTGAAGGTACCCTTGCATTCCATATACATTCCATGTACATAGAAACATTATCTTTCAGGGTGTTTCATATTCGTGGAACTCCTCCATGATGGATGAACAGGTTTTCATGAATTAAATATAAGTGGAATGCCTATGACCAGGAGACGATACTTCTTGGAGAGAAAGCCTCGCCATTTTCACTTAATTAAGCCAAATTTCGACGATAAGAATAGCATTGTACCAAATGCCCTCGCTGGCAAGGTGCTCACATCCACACGTGAGATTAAGAGGCATTGTCGGCTACGGACGTTGTTGGCATTATAACTGCGTGCAATGATCATATGTGTTAGTTTTGTCGTGTTGCTAGTCACGTCGCCGGTTTCTCACGGTACATTACGTAAATCTGCAGGATTCAATTAATGCTTCATATTATAAATTCAAAATTTGTAGTTGCCCTAAAATTTCGCAAAAAAGGGGGGAAGTTCGAACTTCTCGGTGGCGAGATGTACTGAACGTGAAAGAAATGTCCCTGAGTCATAGCATGAGAAAGCATAATATCGTGCACAAATTGCTGCTTAGTTGGCTACTTCAAAAAGCGATAACACTGATGAAGAGAGAGTGCGAAAAATCATGCACAGAATAATTTGGTTCGACTTATTTCAGTTTCTCTTTCACACTAGTTATTCATACTGGATTATGTAAGAGGAATATTTTGGTCAGAAAGCCCTAACATCCTACATATCCTCAGTAATCAATCTCCAGGGAATTTATTGGCAGGAGATGAGCATTTGTCTTTGGTCCATTGTCTCTCAAGTTTGGACATAAATTCTTTGCAAACTCATCGACTACATTGCACCCAGGTTGAAGTACTCTTCGCTTCATTGGTCAAGTGAACTGAACCACAAAAAGTGTTTTTCCCCGAGAGCAGCATGCCTTCTTTAGGGAAGGAAAATTCACCCATCTACAATGCACATGAGCATTCACGAATTTGATTTCATCAAGCTCGTGGGCGATAAAAGTGTCAGCAATGTCTGGAAATACGAGTGCACATTCTCTCTATATATTCTTAAATAATTCAGGAAATTTTCTATTAAACCTTTAGACATTCTGTCTTCCAAGCGAGATTACACTTCCCCGATTATTCACGTCATCATGAAGGAACTCGGCGCCTTAAGGCGTTGCTATGAAAAAAAATTGATTCTAAAGGAGCTGAACGACTCAATACTCCCATTTGTGCACTGCAGAAGTTATTCGGAGTAAGAAAGACACGCATTACCCGATGCATTGGATGGCGCATTGAACGGCCGATTGTGTGACCACTTCGGCAACTGGAGCTTGGATGATTTGGTCCAATCCGTATATGGAAAATGTCACCTGATCCTGCCCCAAGATTGTTGGGATGAAAAGGAGTGAAAAAAGCCCCAAAACCCTCATCCTGCACAGAATAAACAATGCAACTTCAGCGGGTTCCCTCATTGTCAATAGACACAACTTCGTACATTCTGAATTATACCAAGCTTTTACTTCATAGTAGCTCCATATTCTCTATATTAACTTGAGCGGGTATATTTTCCAACCCCTAATCCTGTATATATCAAATTTTTTGCCCCACCCATGGTATAGGTAACCAAAGACTTGAAAGCAAAACTTCACCAAATTATGACGATCAATATAGGATTCTGTAGTGTGCCTTTCATGTTGTTTTTAACGAAAAGTGAATACATGAAAGTCGTTTTAAGGCAGTCATTATCAAAATTTGGTTGTGCGTTATGCCGTTATTTTTTGTACCACATTGGAAACATTACTTAATTTGCTCCTTGAAAGTTTCTTTTGTTGGCTTTAAAAAAATTGACAGCCTTTCAAAGTTGAATCATAAAATATACTTTATACGCGCATGGATGTTTGGCAATGGAATTTCGTCTCTACTCAAATTATATCTCTCCCTTGACACCATTAAGTCTGCTTTTATACCATACCCTCGTTGTAGTATTCTATGTAATATCGATCCTGATACTGCCACGAACTACAGTAACAGTATTCTACAACGTTGAATACTGCGACGAGGGCAATGCATACATAAGGGTGTGAACCCTTAAATGCATGATTTATTCTTTTTCGGCCAAAAACATATGGTAGGTTTTACTTAGGTCCCTGAACAAGGGAAAAGTGGAAAAAGTTTCCCCTCAAATTTGTAAGCAGAAGGCACGAAAATGTAATTGTTGCTCATTTGCTACAAACAGCATTTTCAGTTTTCTAACCCATTCTGCATGGACGCTAGAGAGCTCAGTCGGTCCGTCAACACTCGTACATACCTCAACGCAAAAGAAAAGGGGAAAATATGGATGGACCTGGACTCTGGATTAGCTAAAAGTTTAAAATAATTGCATCAAAAACGTCAGTCGCCCGACGAAGCCAGCTGTCTTTAATTTCCTTTCCAAGAGGGGTGCATGGCTCCCAGCGACCATTCAAGAATGCATTCAAGAAATTTGTATTTGGTACATGGCAAATCTGCCACGTCATGCATTAAAGTGTTAGAGAAATAATACCCCCCCCCCCCCCCGGTGAATTTCCCTTCAATGGGAATATACGGAGGACACCCACCTGCTTCCAAACCCATCTGAGAGAAGGGTGTTTTGTAAAGCTAGACGCATGTCACCCCATATAATTAATCCTGAATGATCCCTGAATTTCAGAGATCGATGAATAATATTGTACGTAGGAGGCATTCATGGGGTTCGGATCATTATCCATTGGACACGCACTTCTGACGGACACGAATGTACTCACATATTCATATGTAGTGTTGAATGCCCCGCCGGTTTCTACGTGTATTCAGGGTATATTCTGAGTATATGCTCATTATTGTGCATTATTTATATTTATGGATGAAGTCCACTGCTTTTTAGGAAAGGCCAGCGTCGATAGCCAACACAAGGCCACGACGCCTTTATCCTTCCAATATCGTCCTTTCATCGAAAAAGAAATTTTCCTTCAATAATGGATGCTCTATTCCTTGACTTTCAGATTTAAAGTTTTGTTGGAATCATTGAAGTAAGTCTCTCACCCCCTGACGCATTGGGAATTAGTTATGGCCACAAATGAATGATGATATAACTCGGTCATCACACAGAATAGTAGCAATTAGTAGTAATTAACTGTAGTAATTAACATCACCCTTGTTAAGAGCATAGCGGCACCCAATTATATAACCACACCTTAAAAAGTTAATTGACAAGACGAAATCATCCCTCAAATGTACATAAGAGCATAGTTAAAAAAGCAGAAAATTAAGTGGTGTAGAATTTCGTGTTGTATTATTTTCATTAAAAAATATGTTGGTGAATCTTTAAATGGTTATTTCAATACTCGTACCAAACACGAAATAACATTCTCTCAGGCCAGCAATATTTTGAGTACTCCGACCAGTTTCACTTTTGCAGTGGACGATGCAACAGCCTCAATCGTAAAACAGTCTGCACGTTTTAATAGATTTAGTGTTTTACACAAGTTATTCCATCTACAGTTAATTTCGGCCATTCCAAGAGTTTCTTCCCGCATGATTCACTGAACATTCAAAAATGCTTATGCACGAAAGGGCGAACACATTTTCTTCGTGTTACTTCAGCTCTTATTAGTAGTCCTCATGAGGCAACAGTAAACACTGTCCAATCGGTTCATCATTAGGATTCAGTTGGTATTTCGACGAAGCATACACTTCTGCAATTACTCAATAATATTTTACATCTTGACTGGCAATGCTTTCACTTTCCATTACTGCTTCTGCACCAAAAACCGTGGCCGGAACTCCCAAGAGAAAATGGGTAGAAAGAATATTTTTCAAATGCGTTCATTAATCTCGAACGATTTCGTGATGCCCGTTCTCTCGCCAGTCCTCATCCCTTCATCCAATTTCCAGAAGGAATGAGTGGATGAATTGGCTTGCTCGACCGATGCCATGGAAACGTACAACTTGCGAGGGCTTCCTGTAAATATTATAGTTAACAGACAAGAAGATATTTGATGAGGAATTTTGGTATGTCGGTTTTATGTAATAGTTGTGTTAACGAGCCACGGTACAAAATAATGCATCGGAAATGTTGCCCAATATATTGTTCATGACCCAATTCCCAAATGGAATTTTCTCGCTGGTCATGCAGCACAAGTTGGGAAACTCATCCAATCATGCATTCCCTTCTCAACTTGCTGATGCCAAAAACGGAACGTTCCATGCCAAGTTTCTTAGAACGAATAAAAGTTTTATTGGCTTGCGTTTGTCGACACGGCAAAGTGGAAGGCTGCAGATACGTATTTGATAGAATCCAAGTAGCAGAATATCTCCCCTCTTTTTCCTTAAATATTCGATAGTAAATTTGCAATACTGCTTCGAGGGAGCAAAACGAAGAAGTCTCTTGTGAAACCACTGCCGTACCATATGCCACGCGCTGTCAGCCTTCACAAACGGATTTCAACAACAGAACTTACTCATTCCGCAGCAGAGCCATGGTGCGAACGCTCATGCCTCGAAGCCACTATTTCGTGCAATCTATCGTCGGTTTCATTCTCAGCGTAGCTGCCCGGAAATGGCGAGCCTATGGCGCATGCGGAATGAACTTCGCTCAGCCCATGTTTTATATTACGAATCACTCAAAAGCCAATACCGGGTGAGGCAAAAAAAAAATCACGTCCCTCTTTTAGATTTTTTTTCTGTTCATGAGATATCAAAAATTGCTTACAATGGATTGTACGTATCCTTCGAACGTTCAAAAAATTATTGCTCGTTTCTCTCACGTCTTTTAACACAGGAACAAAAGCGCACAATTTTATATTTTGCGCTAGGAAACATATGGGTGGAAAAGAAGATGGCACGCGCGATCTTGAGCCAGAGCTCATCCGTCTACTCATAAAAATGCTGCACTTTGCTATAGGATGGTGTTGGGAAGATTTTTTGCAAGAATTTCCTTGTAAAGGAAGAAAGAAAATCTGCTCATGATGAGGAGACTGATTCACGAACGGCAAGAAACCGGTTCATCAGAGAAGAAGTCTAAGACTAGCCGAAACTGATGGAAGCTGAGATGCTGCGGGAGAAGTCTTTGAATTTCAATATGGTAATCCTAGGATGCAAAATTTCCGTCTGAAAATTTCCAGACGTAAGGACGAGTCTGAGATCTGCTCAGCGGATTCTGAAATGCAAAGGAAAAAACTCTCGAAATGAATTAAAATTCCTTGTGAGTGGGGCAGGTCCTCCCATCATCGCCCAGGTAGGGGTGCAATAGTTTAATAACAGTTGCTTTTGGGAAATCCCTTGTGTGCTAAATCGCTAGAGATGAACGGGCCAGAATTTTCGGATGACGTATGAGGGTTATACGAAGGAAACCTTCTTGTTCTACCTTTTGTTTCAGGGGTGGCACAATTTTTCGAAGGCTGGCGCATTTTTCAGAATGAAACAATAGGACAGTGGCACGAGCGAGATGGGCTCATTGGAAGAAACATACAGAAAGTCGGGAATATTTTGCAAGGAAGATCTCAGATGATAATATTTATTTTAAAAACGTATTACTGGTGATCGTGGCGGGTTGGATGTTGTGGTCGTTGTTGTCAACATTAGTGTCGTCGTTGGAGTTGTCAATGTCGTCGTCCGTGTCATTAGGTTGGCCGCATTGCTGCAGATTGGGAACTGATCCATAGAGTTCCTCCGAATTGTGAGTTAGTTCCGATGCCAAGATATGCCAGGAGACGAATGTATCCATCATTGAATAACCGAAATGGGGAAGCCCTCACATTTCCCTAACCTTTTTCGAAATGAAAAACGTTAATCATTATGATGGAAAAATGCATAACATGGGAAGCTCACCTAGGATAGGGGCTCTCCCATTCCTGTAATAGTTTATTCTTGGAGAGTAAGAGAAACAGAAACGTTCTGGTGTCAGAGGTTGAAAGAGCATAACAGCGTGTCCAATTTATTTGTTTGCCCGCTATTTTCAAAACAGTAAAACTGAGGAGGAGAGGGCGCAGAAATACATGCGCGAAATGCTTACGTTCGACTCATTTCGACTACGTTGTACCCATGTTAAAATAGTCGACACATTTTGCTCAATTGTTGAAATGGATAGAGCCACAAAAAAAACATTGATATGCCCAAGAGCAGTATGCCTCTTTTAGCGGAGGGAAATTCACTTATCCGTTTTGACCAAGCTTTTCCGTTATTAAAGTGACAGCAATGCCCACAAAATGAGGGCACATACTGTGCATATAATTCTAAACCAGTTGAGGAACATTTCGCTGACACCTTCTTGACTTCCTGTCTTTCAAGCTTGATCACACTTTCCCGATTATTCACGTCATCAGGAAGCAACTCAACTCTTTCAGCCGCCAGTAACAATAAATTACCTCTAAGGGAGCTGAGCGACTGAATCCCTCTCTTTGTGCACAGCAGCCGTTATTTGACGTAAGAAATAGCGTATTTCCCTGACCCTTCCATTCCATGTCAAATCAACACAGCCATTTTCCTCACCCCCTCCGATTTCCATGAAATTTGCTGAACTTTTTGGGGCCATTGAAAAACCACCCCATGCCCAATTGGAGCTCTCTACTTCAAGTGCTTCCAGAGATGTAACACTTTGAAAGTGGCAAGAAGGGACCAATGTTGGGTTCGCGCAGCCAAAGCAAGATGAAATAGCCTCCACAGTGAATCGATACAGAATTTGTCCCCAATACTTTTCACATGTAACTTTACGGATTCGGCATAGCAACATTGTGTCAGCATTGGGCAACTTAGGTTGATTTTAGGAAGCAACAATATTGCCCTAACGTTGTGCAAATGGTTGCTCGGATATCGAAGCAATGTTGTCAAGAAGCACAGTTCAACATTGAAAATATATGGTGCCAGCGTTGAAATTGTGAAAGTTAGGACATTGCAGCCATCCTTACATTTCCTCAGTCTGAACGAGTGCTTATATCGACAAGATGACGAGATTGAATGTGCATTACGTTTGGTAATGGAAAACATTGAATTGGGTTTTCTGTGCTTTTGGATTCCGATGCTTTGTGAATCAGTGCCGCAAAACTTTGAGGTGGACTTTGGAAAGTTATGAGAAGAATGGGAGACTTACATTTTTAGTAATTCCGCATTGCTTAGCATTGAATTTGAAGGACATTTCACAAAATGACGAGAAGGAACCAATCTATGAAGAACTTCTTCAATTCCTAAAGGAGCAGAAAAATGTGCATTCAACATGATTGATATTCTACGACATACCATGGCA